CATGATACTCTGATGATGTAAAGCTTGCTTGTCTGCATATGTACCAAATCTAATGCCATTCTGGTTCTTCAGATTCAAATGGATAACAGGATTATTAGATTATGCTGAACATAACTTTTGTGAGGGTTGCAGGGCCTTGTAGCTTGCAATCCTATATGCACAGTGATAAGGGGAAATCAGGACTGAACCTAGCAAAACCTATTTCAGGGTAATTATGCAAAAAATCTAAAGTCTACGCTGGCCAATCTTATTCACATCTATTCAGAGTTCAGCACTCCAGGTGAATGAGCTTAGGTTTATCAGATCCTTAATTAATGAAAAGATTCAAGTAAAAGGGCAGAAAATAAGGGATTGTTCTAGCTCAAGATGAGAAGTGCTTAAGACACGACTTACAAACACTTGTCAGTTACCATGGATATTAGAGCTAACAAGTACAAGTTGGGTGAAAATGTTTCCATATAGAGCACCACTATGTAGAATTCCAGCCACACCATTTGACAACCAGTTATTTTTTCTCTTTTACCCCAATTATGTGGCACAACTAGCAACCTAGTGTTTGTCATTTCTTTTTAAATCAGGAGATGTGTGCCAGTGGTGAGTTTGGCCCCAGTTAAACATAAGTCACCCTTCCCCTATGAAGACATGCAGCTTCTAATGTGTTTGCTCAAAATCACACCCATATCAATTCTCCAGATGCCCTTCAATACAAGGAAACTAGTGTTTAAAGCTCTCCACATGTGATATAAATGAAGAAGAAATTAAATTTCAGTTGCTGCTCAAGGGATAAAAGGAATATCTGAAGATGTGACTGAAATTTTGGGGAGGAAACAATTACAATTTCCCTTCCCAGCAATAAAACACTCTTTTAAAATCCCTGCTATTCATGTCAGTGGTGGCTCTTTTAAAGCTTTATTTATTGTTATCAGAAATGATCTATTTCATCCCATGAACATAAGGGATGAGGTATGAAGGGTGTGATTGAGCTTCAGACCCTTGGTACATGGAGCCTAGTAGATCCTGATTTACTGCTTTGTCCAAGATTCAGGCAAGATATTTTTCCAGCCCTATCTGAAGATGCTGTCAATATCTTGACCAAAGTGCAGAGCCTGTGAGGGTTTGGATGGGATGAACCAGGCAGAAGTTCAACTCAGCAATACTGAGCTGCTGTTTGTTCCCTGGGCTCTTTGACCTCCCTGGTGTTGATTCTTGATTGGGTGGCACAGCCTTTGCTACAACAGGTCTACAACTTGGGAATGGTTCTAGACTCATGACCCTGGATAGCCAGGTACATAGACAACCTTTGCCCACTGGTGCATGAGTTGCAGCCCTACTTGGATCACGAGGATCTTGCAATCATAACTTATGCCCTCATCTCCACCTATGTGGACTACTGCAGTGTGTTGCTCATGAGGCTGCCTTTGAAGAGCATCCAGAAGCTTCATTTGGTCCAATATTTGATAGCTGACTGCTCACTGGCACACATCCATGCACCCGGCCCTGCATTGGCTCCCTACAGTATTTGCTTCTGGATGCAATTCAAAGTGTTGTTTTTAACCATGAAAGCATTACATGCCTTGGCACTGTATTTGCAGGACTACTACCTCCAACTAGTTTTAACCCACCCAATCCATAAAGTGATGGTGGGGGGCGTTCTTCACTTTGAAATAGCTTCTCCCTGGGAACTTGAACTTTCCCTACAGCATTGGGTTTCCATAGCTATTAAAAATTAAGCTTTTCTGGGGAAGCCTTTGACATATGAGCTAACAGTATATGTTACATTATCTGTTATTGTGTGTGTTGTATTTCTTATATTATTTGGTTTTGTTGTACAAAAATATGTAGTTTGTATTAATGGATGTTGTAAACTGCTGAGAGTCTCTTTGATTGCAGCAACAATAAATCTAATAAATAATACTAGTAACTGAACCTAGTATAAATATTTGCATGCAGAGTAGATGCTCTGCCACTGAGTGACAACACTGATTCCCCATCCAGTTTCTCACCCAAGTGAATTTAACTACATTTCTGCAAAATGTGGGGGGTTCTCAAGTTTACTGATACTTCCCTCTTGTGAAAGAAAAAGGCATTTTGGCAATACGGTATAAGTAGTAGTATTGGCAGCCTAAATCATAGAATTAAATGGTCTGACAAGTTAAAAGTGCATGTTAACTGTGGGAAAAACATTAGAAAAAGGTAGCATACAACAGTGAATTTGCCAACAATGGAGCTTGCACTTTAGTGTTACCCTGTTATTGTTGAGTGTGTTATTTATTTTGTTTTAAATCTGACCTGAATAAGGGCATTCTGACCTGGCCAGGATTTCATTTCCTTTCACCATTTATGGTGGGTAGTTTCACTAAATCAGTTATTACAATCTCTGCCCAAACCTCTAAAAGAGAAGAAAACATGGAGTTAGGAAACATGCAAATATATGATGCCCCTGACCCAGTTTGCTTATGTAGAATGTTATGACTTTTTAAACATTGTGTGTGCATTTAGACATTGTGTGTGCATTTATGCCACTCAGTAGATGCAATAGATTTCAAGTGCAGAACATGAATATAGGAACTAACTCTGACACCACAGTCTGCTTAAAAGATCTTTTGAAGCAGCATGAGATTTTGGAGCAGGTATTTGGATCCCCAAAATAGGGCATTTTACTCCAGTCTCTTCCAATCTGGCATCTTCGAAATGTGTTAGAACCAAGTCAGCAAGGTGAAAGGCCCATGTCCCCTTGCTGTTAGTATATAGGCATTATCTAAGCTCCGTTCTGTCTCTAGTACAGAGAGAGTAACTTACAGCTTTTTCACAATTTATACCCAACTAATTCAGAGACAATTTAACAGTAGTATCTTAATTATTTCAGTATGCAAATAAAAGCTTTTTTTTTTTTTTACTCATTCCATCTCTTTAATTCCACCTGGCTTTTAATGGTTGTTTGCAGTATTTGTAGAATTTAGATATTCTCTGAGTAGTATACACTTTAGATGTAGTGCTACTGATGGGATAGAGGTGAAACTGAAGTCTGTATTTTCACAGGTTCTTACATTTGGTACTCAAGAGCAAAAACAAACTAGAATATTCAAGCAAATATAAAACAAACTAGTTTTAAAAGTGCCTCAAGGATTTTCCAAATGGACAAGGTTACTCAGAATCTTTCCAGACCACATTCTAGTAAGAAATGAAATAAAAAGAAAGCTTGTCTCATAGCATTAATTGGCACTTTTTTACACTACCCAAAAAATAGTTTCATCATGACCTTGCCGCTAAGCTTTCTTGAAAATATTGTCCAGTTCCTTGTTTATCTGAGTTTAGATTAATAAGATTGTATTATTAGAAGATAAAATTAAGATTACAGTAAGACTGCATCTTAGTCTATACAGCATCTGTGAAAGCGCTGCTATTTAACAGGCTGAAACAGAGGTCGCATCACTTCTGGGAAGAAATAAAAGCAAATCAGGAACGATTCATTTTCTTCATTTACATATCATTTAGTGATCTGGCACAAAACATACCTTCCTTAATGTTTTATGAAATGAAGTAGCTTTGGTGAGTCTAAAATATTTTCTATTGACACACATTGATTTTACAAATCAAGCAAACCAAATCAATTTCTCTACATTAAAAAAAAAAAATGTGCACAGAGCACTTAAAACAGATAACATTTACAAGTTTAGATTTGCACTTTTAATGACAGTTCTCTTTTTAGAATTCTCCAGTTCAAAGAAATTCAACAGTTACCATCATGTGAAATGCAGATTTAACCCAAGTGTTAAGTTAGACACTTTAGAATACATTTAAAAGAAAAACCCACAGCCTTTAAAAAAAAAAATCATTTTTCCACACTGGGCTACAGTATTTGACAGCATGTCAAAAGGATCCTGTTGGTTTACTGATTTTAGAATGCACAGTTTCTAACTCTTTATTGTGATGATTAGGTCTGCTTTACAGATAAATACCATGAGCTGCAGTCCAGCACAAAAGTATGCAATAGTAAATTTCCTGGAATGTTATTTTATTTATTTCTGTGCCCTCGTGTAAGTCTTGCCTTTTTACAACTACATGGACAAGTCCTTGCAGTTTTTTTGGTAACATTCTCAAAAGTGGTTTGTCATTGCCTTGTCCCTAGGACTGAGAGAGATGGGCCCAAAGTCACCCAGACAGCTTTTCTTCCCAAGGGGGACTAGAACACAGTTTTCCCATTTCCAATCCAGTGCCTTAACCACTAGAGAGAGCTGACTTAGATGGTTTGCTTAAGTGCCAGTATTACGACTGGTTGACCCTTCAGATAAAACTCCTTGTTGGTACAATGAATGCCCAGAGCAATGCTGTAAACTGATCTCAAAAACAAACCCTCTTGAGTTCAGGAACGCTTATCCTACGAAAAAGGGATGCATGGGAACGCCTTACGTTGAATTTACACCTGTATACAGGGCAGGGAACCGATTTGATTCTCCCCCTTTTCGCCTGGAAGAGCAGGACGCATCGCCCATGGTCTTGCAGGGAAGGGTTTTTTTAAAACGCTAATATCCCTGGTTAACGCAAAAGAGCAGCACGGTAATGTTCGCTCAGGTTCTTCTCCTGATCTTCACTTCCTTTTTCATTGAACGACCCCCCACCCTTTCTCAATACGCTTCCCGCACATCCCCACAGCCCGAGGATTGCGCGCTCTCTTTCTCGCGTGCAACGCACACGGCGAGTCCTTGGGGAATGCAAGAAATGGGGAGACGCCACCACGTCACCGCCGACCGCCCCAGCAGCGGGAGGCGGGCTCCCCTCCCCTCCCCTCCCCTCCCCTCTACCTTGCCCACTAACCCGCCCACTTTCTTTTTAACAGCCGCCTTTTCTTTCGGCAACTCTCAGGTTACTTGCGGAGTGCGCGCTCCGATCTCCAGCCTGTTTTGTTTCTCTCGCGCCCTCGCACCCCCCCCCCCCACCCCGCCTCCGGAGCCCCCCAGCGCCGGCGGTTGGCCGGCCGGGGCTTGACGCAGCGCCGGGCAGAGAGGGTCGAGGACGTGTTTCAACAGATGGTTGGGGTTAGCGTGTCATCGCGTTCGAGTGGGGATTAGTGGAGCCAAGGGCTGCCGAGCCGGAGCTGTGTGGTCTCCTCTTCCCAACTTAAGCAGCCAAGGTGCCTTTTTGTTTTCCGTCGCCTGGGGGAAAGAGTGGGCGCGAAAGAGGGCGCCTTTCCCCCACAGAAAGCAGCAGACATTCTCCAGGTAAAGGGGCG